TATATATATATATATACAGATAATATGCAAAGAGCTATATTCAGACTAGAACTATATAAAGGATTTATTCTTAAACTATGCAGATTTCTTTCTTGCAGCACCTGGTCTTCCCTAAACCACTCTAATAATTGCATTAATATATTTCCATCTTCCTGCATTTAGTTAATTGTAATTTACTTATCTGCCAATTCATTTAGTTGCATCTTTGTTCTACTACTCACATACATACAAGGAATTCCTGCCAAAGGAATATATTTTAGGGATCAGTTTTTCTCTGATGTGGCATCACAAGTTAGTTTTGCTCACTAATATATAGGCAATTTTATGGATGACGACCCAATAGCAATTTATTTTCCTGCTCTGGGAATTATGGCATGAAATACAAATGCCTACCATATATTGGAAACACTTCTGCATAGAATAAATATTTTTGCAGAATTTATAGGAAAGTTTCATAACTGGCAGCTGATACAATAATGGTTATAGAAGTGGGTACAACTAGAGTAAAGAGCTGTTTTACACAACTAACAGAAAAAAACTATATTCACATAGTCACTATCCTACCATTTCTTTAGCTCACTCACTTTGGAAATAACAGGTCAGTGATATAAACCTTATCTTGGATGTGAATATAACCAAGTAATAGTGTAGTAACTAGAAGATACAAGTAGTCCTCAACTTACAACCATAATGGGGACCGGAAAATTCAATGTTAAGTAGTGCAGCCATGACTTGTGACACTTCCTGCTGGATTCCCCATTGACTTTTCATGTCAGAAGCCATCTGGGAAGGTCATAAAAGGCAATCCCATGACCAAGAGGATGCTATAACAGTTTAAAGTTTGAGGGCCATCATAAGTCACTTTTTAGTGCCATCATAATTAAGAATGGTCGCTAAACATTTCAATCTTGGCTTATTTGAGAATATTAAAGCATATAAAATGGCCGGTTTCAATAACATAGAAGAGTAAAAAACACCCAAGACTTAAGTGACAGAAAAAAATCATATTATATTAAGCATGATTAATTTTAACTGTGATTGATGAACAAGGGACAATGGCTGGGTTCACATATTGCACTAAGGAGAAGCAAAGGCAACATTATAGCATAGCACAACTTAGAAACTTGGGAAAAATGGCTAAACTTTCCAATGTGATTTAGGGGTTCAGAACTATCAGCAAGGTTGACAAGGGACCACATAAAACCCACTGGTTTTTAAGTCAGAGCATGTACATTGGTAAAGGAGAAAATGGCCCCTCCTTCAGGTATCCAGATAACTACCATTTCTCACCCTATCAGAGACCCATAAATGCACCTGCTCTTACAAAGAGATGGATGATAGCCATGAGCTCTTCAGAGAGAAACTTCCTGACAAATGTAAAGTTCTAGTTCCTGAGGTGGAAAAGTAAAAACTAGTGCAATTGGATGGGCCAGGAGAAATAATCAATGGCTGCTTGTTCTAAGCTTCAAAAGTTAAAGAGATCTAGTCACTCTGCAATCAATATTAACAGTACATTTTTAATCATTAACACAGAGTGACTGCCATAAAATACCTTCCCAAAGTTCCCTCCTGCTGCTGCTTCTGTGGCTGAGAACATAAAGAAAAATCACCTGATTTCCCATCCTACCTCTTTCTTCTGTCCAGCAGCTTATTGAAGTTATCACTTGAATCAGGTGATCAGATCCTAAGTATTAGGGGTTTTTTCCACTGACTCAGTAAGTTAAACTGTATCTATCTTCTTCCAAATATTAGCATTAAAAATCAATATTTGGCTGCAATGCTACATAGGGATTTTTGTCGAGTGACAGTATTGGCAACAAAATTACCTACTATCACAAGGTTTCATGGAATATTTTGAGTAATATTTTAACTCACATGCTGAATTTGAATGACAGCAGAAAACTGTCTACAAAAATATTAATTATCCACAACTTGCATATTATAGAACATTTTGTTACATAAGTTAAAAGGGACAGTCAAAATAATTAGGGAAGAGGAGGTGGAATATTTTATGACAGGGCTGAGAAATGTCTCTTAATTAGGAAAAAAGGTAACAAAGAAGATGGCATGTTTAAAAGGTATGCAGTAATAGAAGATGCAGAAAAGGCAGAAAGGAATTTTCCCTTTATCACTACATTAAAAACTGAGCTCATCAGGGAAGCAAACTGACAACAGTTTGGAAATCATAGTTACATAATAAGGCTGTGCAGTAATCTTGAGTCTGTGGGCAAAAAGGTTCCCTGTGATTGTGGAAAACAGTGCAACTGCTTTAATTCCAGAAAGATGCTATATTTGCACTCTCTGAAGCATTGTTTGTCTTCGAAACTAAAGTACTGCATAGCCCTATTTTATACACATATATATATATTATGTGGTGATAGCTATAACTATCTTGCAAGGGGAATTCAGTTGAATTAATCAAATAGAAGTTGCTTGCACTTATGTGCCTTTAATAACTTGGATTGTGTGCTTATTCATCATTTCATTCCACTTTATCATATTTTTTTTGCCCCAACCATCAAATAGCAATTATCCTATGAGCATCTACCCTCTACATTTATACACTTACATTCTTAGTCAATTCTTTATCGCACACTTTAGTTATTGGGATTATTCAAAGTCCCAGGTTTTGTTTAACATCACATGATTTAGAGCAATATGTAAATACATTCCGTGTATCTGATCTTCCCTTCCAAAGATACTTTTTCCCATTCAGTTTCTATATGCTGTCTTATTCTTTTTTTCGGTGTCAGTTCTCTGGGCACTGAGCAATCCTTGGTTTTTTTCCAAAATCTTTTTCTTTCTCTTTTCAATTTCATGGGTTCTACTAATCTCTCTCTCTCTCTCCCTCTTTCTCTGTCTCTCACTTACACACAGTGTCATTTTAATTCAGTAAGCAGAAGCATTCAAAATATCCTTCAAAATACCACATGATGGTTATTATCTTCAAATACAGTTTGCCTTTTTCTGTAACCATTTTGCTAATTCCTATCCTGGAGATAGATTTCCTCTTCCCCTTCTTCTTTGTATACAGTGTATTTAATTAATACAAAACAGTTGTAAGGAGTTGCTTAAAAATTGTCCAACAAAGCGGTATAAACTGAAATTCAAACATAAATGTAATTTAAAAGGTGCATTGTTACCTGAAGATTATATTTTACATAGTTTTATATCAACACTCTTATTCAAGTCCACAGGTAATGCTAAAATCTGTTGAATTAAAAGTAAATTTTATTACAATAAAAACACTATAACCAAACAGATCAATTGTCATAATTGTTAACTTCAGAATTAAAAGGAAAGATTCCATCCTAGATAAAAGAACTTTTTAATTTAATGTTGTGCCATTCATTTTACCTTAATGGCATGTTTTAATGCATGAGCATCATAAATCCGTTCAGGTCTCATCAGGGAAACTATGAGTTTCTCCACTTTGCCCGTAAGTTCAGATTTAAAGTCATCAATCATATCCTAAATGACAGAATGAAGAATGAGTAATTAATGAGAAATGCATATCAATGCCAGTCTTTCAGTTATAGTTATTGCAGTATCATTTGTATTATTAATATTCCATATAAACATATGGAGATATATACATACATTCTCTCTCTCTCTCTCACACACACACACACACACACGCATTTACACAGAAGTGAAGAGTAAGAGAAATAAACAAATAATAACCAGCCAACCAAAAACATTAACCATCATGAAATATCTGTAATATGAAAAAGCACAAGTAGAGTCACCTGCTTACCCGGCCAAATAAGGTTTTAAATTGTACTGCAATTTCCTGGCGTTGTGCATTGCTTCTGCCCATTAGAATCTTCAGGATTGGCTCTTCATCAGTTCCTTAAATTATGCAAGTTAAAATAAAATCACTCACTGAAAGAACAGCAATAGTTTATAAATGAATGTAAATGAACACATTATGTCCTTATATTTATATTCTTGAAATCATACCTTACTTGGAAAACTCTATTTTAATGTAAAGGTAGTCCTCACTTCTTAAGTGACCACAATTGGGACTGGCAACTCAATCTTTAAGCAGAGCAGTCACTAAGTGAAATATCATGATTTTACATTTTTATTTCAGCTTTCCTTTGCTTTACATTCCTGTAGAGGTCATAAATGCAAGGATTCTCTCAAAGCTACCTTTTCGTCACCACTGTTACTATGAATAATGACTAAATGAGTCAGTTGCTACACGAATAACCACACACACACACACACACACACACACATATAGTCATAATCAAAAAAGTGGAATGTATATGAAAATATTTGCATCAAAAGGAGAATTCACAAAGAAAACCAATTTGTAATATCCACCCTCTTACTTTTTTCAAGCATTGTTTTCTAACCAAAGTTGTGTGGATAATTGAGAATAATTATCAAGGCCTATGCTTCTTTTCAAATCTACTGCCTGAGCATCTTTTAAAAGAACAAAAGCAAAAACTAGCAGTAGAACTTGAAGTAATTCTGACTCACACCACATAATTAGGTAGCCAATAGGATTTAACTATGTGACAACTTTCACAACAGAAGGCATATGTATGCACCCTCATTAAAAAAAAACTCTGAACAAGATTGCACAGCTAACTGGATTTGATACTACTGATTAGCAGAAATGTTCATAGAATTTCCTCCACATTTCAACACACTATTTGCCTCAATATTCAGTATATGTGGTAGAATCTCCAACTAGACTGAAGGGAGGGGTTAAGAGGGGGCCGAGCTTGGAGTTCTTGCACTGCAGGAAGTGGAACAGGCCTGACCTTCCCTAGAATCCCTAAAATCTTATTTGACCATTCCCAAGGAAATGCAGTCAATCAGCAAGATTCTTGTAACATAGGTGACCAGCAATAAAGCTTCTGTTTGAGACTATCCCCAAGTAGTTCTGGATGCTTCAGCCTGACAATATAAATCAACATTTTAAAGAAAACATCTGTTTCCTATTCACTATCTGGCCTTCAGAATTTGTTTTGCATTAATAAAAGTTAAGCTAAAGTTAAGTCAATATTTGTTTTGTATGAATAAAAGTTAATGGCTGTCTCAGTATCTTTATTTTAACTTTTCAGGAATTCCAGTTAAAAAAACCCTAAACACCAAAACAATAGTTCTATTGTCCTGAAGAAGATTCTACATAGTAGTCTCAAGGGTGCTTTTTCCAAAAATGCCTACAGCCTGGCGTTTGATCAAAGTTTAGACACCATTTAATAATTCAGAGAAACTAGAACATGTTCAAAGAGCAACAGTGGCAACAAGAGGACTATGAAGAGAACTGAAAGACCTGGCAATGCTTTCATTTGGATTTTTATACTATATAAGGATTTGGTTTCAATGGCCTAAATGGTCCCTTCCCATTCTAATGAATGTTTTCTTATTATGTCACCCTGACCAGCTCAAGGTTGACTCAGCCTTCCATCCTTCTGGGTTAATAAAATGAAGGCCCAGATTGTTGGGGACAATTGCTGACTCTATAAACCGCTTAGAGAGGGCTGTAAAGCACTATGAAGCAGTAGATAAGTCTAAGTGCTATTGTTATCAAATTCCACTTATGCAAATGCCAATTAAAAAAATGCCAAGCCAAAGCATAAAGAGAACTTGGTGATCACACTGATATATTTCTGATCCCACCATTAGATCATTGTAAGGTTTATTTTCAATTTTATCTCATATGCAATCAGAATCTCTTGAACTTTATTTTAGCCTATCTGTCTAATGTTAACACTGCAGAAGGAAGCCAACTTTATTTCTGAACATTCCCTGAACAAATCAGTTACTGATCCAGATTATTAGGAAGCCTACACAATGAAGAATCCCTGCTACTGAAACTTCAGCCCAAATGCATGGCAGACAGGAAGGAGAGGGATGATTACAGAGAGCTCATCTTCACACAATTGTTAACTGTATGAGGGAAAAGTTTCAATAGGGTGTTATTTTGCTTCTGCTTACCCAATCCTTTCATTGCCTTGCGAAGAACTTCAGCATCAGCTCTGGCATCAAATCCAGGGAAATCTTTTACAGTACCTTTTGTATACTAGAAGGAAAATAAAATTATGTTCATGCAGCATCCTTTTAGTAACATTATAAAACTGATAATCAAGAAGCATGAGTTATAAAATCTAAATGCTGATCCCTTAGAAAATATAATCTGTTGTATATCTAATAGTAATTAATCCATATGATCTGGCACAATTTGCAAATTCGTGGTAGGATTGAAATATTGAGTACAAAGCTTTCTTATATGATAAAAGCTTGAACTCAAATATTACAAATCAGATCTGGAGCAAAGATTGTAGAATTTGGAGGTTTAGGAATCTGATCTCTAACAATCCCTTAGGAAGGCATTTGTGGTTTCTCTGTGTAACAAAATGATGTGCAGTTGTGTATGTGTTTAGGCACTCTGTTACAGACAAGAAGAAAGAACATTTCCACAGTTTACTGATAAAATAGGTGTTGAAAGTTAAAAATAATTTTCTTATTAAAAATAATTTAATAAGAAACTAGTTTAACAATAGCTTCCTGGCAGCTCTTTCATAGCACAATTATATTAAAAATAATTCATATTCTGTGATTTATATAGAAGCTATATGGAAATCAGTTATAAAGAGCTTACACCCTGAAAAAACTTTGATATCAATAAAATCAGCTAATACAATTTTGATATATAATTTATAGTTTGTCTAACCTGTATATGTAGAACATAATCCTAAATATGCAACCAGTCATTTGATAATTCTGACAAATAGTTCCAACAATTCTAAAGAGTGTTAGATTGGAGAAACTATTTTGATGAGTATGTGACATAATTAACTATTAACATACAAGAATCATGAAATAATATTATATTCTTAGACCTTCATTTTCTCAGTTGTTCACCTGAATCAGTGATAAACAATCCACAATATTCCAAATGCTGAACTTAAATTCCCAGCAGCCCCATTAAGAATGCCCAATCGTAAGTGTTGCTGGGACAACATGTCCCACAACATGTTTAGTAGAACAGGATGATTGCCTTAGTCTTAATTATTCTAGATCTCATCTCATTACAGGAAAGTGGTAGCATGAAACCTCAATATTTCAGTCTAAGGGAACGTTTTCAATATCAGTACATTTCACTGTAGAGGACCAACTACGGTACTTCCTTATTCTTAATTTCTTAGAAACTAGCTATATTCTTTATTTCCAGAAAGGAAACTCAGATATTGTTTGTTCAATTATTAAACAAATATTAAGTCCAGAATATTGTTAAAAATTAGCAAAAGGGATTGGCATAGAAAGCCACAAAAACTGAGTGAAAAGAAAATGTATAACTGCCATGTGAATATTAGTCATTTGGAATTTGGCAACAGATATATGTCTTTTGAATCCTGAAATGAATCACCATCTCCTAATGGACAGCTATCCTGACAAACAAAAACAACCATACTGATAGTTCTTATATTCTCTGGCAAGTGGAAAGAATGACTAGCCTTCCTCCCTTTGAAGAGGTACAGTATGAAGATTCATTCCAGCAGTTAGCCATCAGTTCTCTCCAGCTCTTAAATTCGGAGAATGCTGACAGCTGCTTGGTTGCAAAAATGGATGCTCCCAAGTAACCTCCTTTGCTAAATGGATGCTCCCAAGTAACCTCCTTTGCTAATCAGTTAGCTGCCAAGCACTTCACAAGAAAGGCATGTATTATTTATTTGGCCAATCAGACACTAGGAATGCCTTCTTTCCAATTTACTATAATGTACAAGCCAGATCAACTCTGACTGCCCTTCTACTGGAAAGGCTGCCAGAGACCTACTTTTCTGATGGTGGTAGGAAAACTATGAAAACAATGCTTCTTCTAATTAACAAGGCTAACCAATAACCAGGGCTGTGGAGTCGGTAGATAAATGTTCT